AACCCTCATTATTCTATTTCTTCATTAGGATATAAAAATTAAGTGATGTTGCATAAAAAACCCTAATTCATTATTTAAAATTCTTTATTTCATATATGTTCTGAGATTCTTTGAAAGTACACACACAGAGCAAACTAAGAAACATAGATTAGAAATAATAACTGTTTTTCTCTTTCTCTTCATATTTGATCTCTTCTTCAATCAGCTTTCATAGCTTTGATGTCTTTCAACATTATTAAGAAATTCTCAGAAAATGCAGTGTGTGGAGAGGAGGGAGGGCGCACAGACTAATGTGATGTACCTAGGAACACACATGGGACCCATCTGATCCTCAAAAGCAAGGGTCACCTTAGGCGTGGAGAATAGAATCAGAGTGTGTGGGTGGGGAAAGTGTTCAGCTCCTGTGCATGACCAGTCTTTCTCCAGGAGAAGATAAGAGATAGTGTTCCATGAAGACCCATCATAAAGAAAATAAGGATCACTTAGAGCTCAGTTTCCAAACGGACTTCCAAATTGGCCCCATAGTTTTCCACTTCTTTTCCTTGTCCAGTATCCAGTTGTTTGGGAAGCTCTGGTGGCTGAGTGGTAAGGAGTTGTACTGCTGATTCTAAGGCATGAGGCTTGAATCCATCAGCTACTGCATGGGAGAAAACTCAGCAGTCTTCTCCTGTGTGATTTACAGCCTTTGGAAAAAAGCTAGGGGGTCAGCTAAGAATTGATTCCTACTTTTACATAACAATAGCAGTAACAACAGCAACAACAACAATATTTATTTTGCACAAAAGGAGGAAACCTGAATGGAAACACAGAATGTTGAGTCCATAGCAAAAAAACCATGTGGAGCAGAACACATAAACAAATGGAACAGAAAGCTCTGTAAATTCACTGGATGCTGTAATCTATTGTTCGTGGTGCATCAAGAATATGTTTTATAAAGCTCAAGAATTTTCCAGGGGCATGTGTTGTGCAGGTTACCAATGTGGGGAAAGTGACAACACTCTACTGATGTCAGCATGATCATACAAAGTAACTGTCCTTTCACCTGAAAAGTATTTCTAGAAATATTACACTTACCAGCTTCATACATAATTTCTTCTTTGGACCTTAACTTCACATCAAAACACACTGTAGCATTTATACACACTGTTTCCTTTTCATCCACACGACAGTTTTTCTTCTGAATATTCACCTTATTGGGTTCAAAATTCATGGTTCCTTTAACAACAGCCACATCTCGGGACCTGCAAACACGGAAATGTGAATGCTAACATTTTTGTGTTCAGAAAATGTCCTCAGTTTGGGAGGGCAGTGTGAATGCACTGAAGGGGAGTCTGGGTTCTCATGCTGCCAATCTCTGTAACTTGATGCAGAAGAGACCACATTTGATGTTCCGAGGATATCAAGTTGTTGCAGAACCATCTCAGTCATAAATCAGATACCTTATTTCGTCTGTTATGGCACACACACACACACACACACACACACACACACCCAACACAAAACAAACAAACAAACAAACAAACAACAACAACAACAACAAAACACCAGGCAAACCCCTCCCAACCCCAAAACCCAAATGCCCAAGTAGATGCACCCCCAGATCTCAAATCATAATGTCTGGGGTTTCTTCTAGTCTGGAAAAATGCAATAAACCTTGTAAAATTTATGGGCCACTGTTGGCTCTTTCTGAAATATTTAACAGTTCTTACAGATTCAGCCCTGCTCCTTTGTGAGAAAGATGAGAAAATTAACATTTAAAGCACTGTGCAGGGCACATAGGTTATTTATATCTTGTGATTAAGCATTCTATGTATGACAATGTAGAACCATTTGAAACAAGAGGTGCATCACAATAGGGGCTGGGGAGGAGAAAGAGAAAGGGGGAAATGTACAACAATGAATGAATGAAAACCCAACCTTTCTGTAAACTTTTGTTAAAGTCACAATAGCAAAAAAAATACTTACTCTAGTACTGAGAAATACAACCTCTGTTTTGTGATTGAGGTAGCTGAGTCTATGAGATGTTAAATATTTTACTCCAGGACAAAGACTGTTAACAAAGCAATACTGGGCTTTTGATTGCTGTCAACACAAAGGCACATGGTTTAAAACCACCAGCTGTTCCACAGGAGAAAGATGGGCAATCTCCTCTCATGCCATTTACTGTCTCTGAAAATCCGCTGGAGGGTGAACTATGCTTCAGTTTTGACTTTATGGTACACAACAACATTCTAATTCTAAGCCCAGAACAGGGAGTTCTGCTGCTAACTCAAAGCCCATGCGTCTCTGCCAGTTTGAATCCACCAGCTGCTCCATGGGAGAAAAATGAGCACTCTCCTCCCTCGACTAACAGACCAAAGGAGAGTCAGCTAAGAGTAGGTGCTGAATGGACAATGAAGAGTGTGAATTTAGGAGAAGAAAACAGAGTAAGCCACTGTTTCAGAATCAGGCTGACCATACCTGAAAGACATTTTTACTCAATTTCTGCCTTTCAACCAAAGCAGATTCTTCATACTTGAGTTTTAGTAACAGTATCTCTTTTTGACATTTTTCTTTTTTTGTAAACTTAAGTTTCCATTTAAACATTTACATTTAAAAATTATAATTGCAATGGCATTAACGGTTGTTGTTGCTCTTGTGTGCCATTGAGTCATAAGTGACCACAGTGACTGACACTCCAGTGAGCTCTCAGAGGCAGTTAATCACATAGGAGGAGATTGTCCATGCCTCTCCAGAGTGCTGAGCAGCTGGTGGCTTCCAATTGCACGCCTTTGGGATTGCAGTGCAGTTTCACGGCCACCAGAGCTCCCTTGATTAGGGATTGTTGTTGTCGTTATGTGCCGTCAACCCTATGTAAAATGGCTCTGAACCCTGCTGTACTTTGAGACAACTTCATTATTTCTGATACACCTACCCCGTAACCCAGTTACTGAGTCAATTAATCTCATCCAGGGTCTTCCTTTCTTGCCCTGTTCCTCCACACTTCCAAGCATGATGTCCCTCTCCAAGGACCAGTCCCTGCTTGCAACATGTCCAAAGTATGTCAGATGAAGCTTCAGAATCCTTGACTCCAAGGAGCAGCCTCCCTCCACACTCCCCAGCATGATGTCCCTCTCCAAGGACCAGTCCCTGCTTGCAACATGTCCAAAGTATGTCAGATGAAGCTTCAGAATCCTTGTGTCCTAGGAGCAGCCTGGTTTCACCCTCTCTAGGATGGACTTGTTTGTTCTCTTAGCAGTCCATGGTATATTCAATATGCTTCTCCAGCATCACAACTCAAAGACATTGATTCTTCTTTTATCATGCTTAGTCATTATCCAGCTCTCTGATGCATAGCTAGTAATTATGAAAGGAATTGCACTGCCAATGCAAATGTATATGATTTGAATTCACCAACTGCATATAGATTGAAAAGGTATGGAGACAGGATGCATCTCTGATACACTCCTTCCCTAATTTTGAATCTGCAGTGTTTCCCTGCTTTTTTTTCTGAGGACTGCTTCCTGGTCTAAGAATAGGCTTTGAACAGGATTCCCATTCTCCTCAAGGTTAGCCATAATTTGTTATGATCCATACAGTTAAATGCCTTTGCATAGTCAATGAAACACAGATAGACATTCCTCTAGTAATCTCCGCTTTCAGCAGAGATCATATAATCTACACTGCTGGAGACGAAAAGGTGAGGAAAAATGGGGTTGCTTTCATAGTTAAAAAATAATTTCTATATCCATCATGAAATACAAGGTTGTGAGTGACGGGATGATATCCATATGCATACAAGGAAGCCCCAGTAGATACCACCATCAATCAAATATATGCACCAACAACCAGAGACAAAAAAGGAGGAAATGCAATCAAGATGCATTAATAATTATCAGTGACTGGAATGCAAATGTTGGAAATAGAGAAGAAGGTTCAGCAGTTGGAAAACATGGACTTGGTGACAGAAATGAACTAAGAGATAGAATGATAGAATTTTGCATAATCAATGACTTATTCATTGCAAATATATTTTCTAAAAAACATACATTGTATTCCTAAGCTGATGGCAGCTAACAACAACAAGAAGAAAGCTAAATGTACAAAAGTTAGTGATGAAATAAAAAAGTTAGTGATGCAGTTCAACATAAAAAAGAGACAATAGTGCTGAGGCTGCTTATATACAATCAAACATGGTTTACTGGCATGGAAGGTTAGGGTCATTCATGGGACATCTCAGCTACCTGGCCCAAGGATGTTAGTGTTTCTGTTTTACTTATTAGTTTTTTATGCAGTGCTTGCAGTCTTAAAAGCTTGCAGTGCTCATCCAAGACATAACAATTGGTCTCTATTTACCTAGAGTGACAGAGGAAGAAGTAGAATCAGTAATAGTTGGCAAATAGGTGATCTGCAGTTGTTTTTCTCTCTGAATCACTACTTCTATTGCTATGAGACCAGAAGAAATGGATTGTATTCAGGTACAGTTATAACTATTTTGATCAAAGATTCCATACAAGAATTCTGACCAATAGAGAAATGTAGAAAATACTTTCAAATTGCATTGGGAAATTCTGTTGTCAGGGACCTCTCTAGAATACACTGAAGAGCACCAACATGCCAGTCTAGAGACTAAGGTGCACCTGATCCAGGCCACAGTCTTTGCAATTACTTGCTATGCATCTGACAGCTGGACAATGACTTAAGAAAATAAAATAATTGATGCCCTTGAGTTGTGTTTCTGGAGAAGAGTGTTGAACATATTGTGGATTGTTAAGAGAACAAACTGATCCCTCTTGGAGAGGGTGAGACCAAGCTATTCCCTGGAGGCAAAGATTTTGAAGCTGCATCTCACATATTTTGGGCAAGTGGCCAGGAGAGACCACTCCTTGGAGAAGGATGGAGGTGGCAGCACAAGGAGAGGAAGAACAAGGATGAGGTGGGTTGACTCAGTTACTAGTGAAATGGAATTAGATCTGAGATTGGCTTGAGATAGGGAAGTGTCCAGAGCTGTCGTACAAAAGGTTGGTATGTCTATGACTATACCACCCTGAATGCGCCAGATCTCATTTGATCTCAGAAGCTAAGCAGGGTTGGGCCTGGTTGGTACTTGGATGGGAGACAAAGGGTTGGTATGAGTCACAGGCAACTTGACAGCAGAAAACAACCACATGGTGGAATGTGTAACTTATTACCTTCTTAAAACAAGTATACTTTGCTGGCTGCATTGTGATGACTCTACAAATTCTACAACTTGGGCCATATTTCATATATCTTTCACAAAGTTTGGGAGCTGTTTTTCTTATCAAGAAGTGTGAGCACTTTCAGGCATATTAATGTACATTGGCTAATTCTTTCAAAGGCATTGATCATTCCATCAGCAAGGAATGAGCACGTTGTTTGTGGCTTAGTCCTAAGATTTTACCAATTTGAGACAGTCTTTTATCATGACCACAACTCCCCTCACAAGCACCTCCCTCTCTCAGCACCATCCAGCCTTTATGAGGAATATAGCTAATCAACCCTTATGATGGTTATCTCTCTATCAGCTCTTCGTTAGTCTTGCCTGCTAGGCGGCCTCTACTTATCACCCACAACTACACCCCTTCAAGTCCTTCCTCCAGCACAGAATCCTTATTTAGACCATTTTGGTGGCAGTGAAACCTGGATGATGACAGTATCCAGTCCTACAATTTTGGCTCATAAATCGTAACAGTTCCTTTAAGGCTGGAGATAGTATAAATAGGGTTTTAGAATACTGGCAAGAGACCCTAGTAGGAGAGGTAGGGCCTGGAAAAAGCTAAGGTGTGTCTGATTCAGTCCACGGTTTCTGCAGTTACTTGTTGTGAATCAGAGAGTGAGTCAGACAATGACAAAGAAGAATTGATGCTGTTGAGTTGTGGTGCTGGAGAAGAGTCTTGAGCATACCATGGACTGCCAAAAGAACAAACAGGTCTGTCTTAGACAGGGTCTCTTTAGAGGCTAGGATTTTTTAAGCCATCTTACATACTTTGGGCATGTGTTCAGAAAGGACCGATCCTTGGAGAAGGACATCATGTTGGAAAGGGTGGAGGAACAGTGCAGGAGAGGACGACCCTGGATGAGATGGATTAACACAGTAACTGGGGTAATGGGGGTAGGTGAGTTGGAGTCAGTGAGACTGGCTCAGGACAGGGCGGGTTTCAGATTTGTTGTACATAGGTTCTCTATGAGTCTCAGGCAACTTGAGAGCACATAAGAACAACAGCCCTTAAATATATATTTTTCTAGTTAGCTGGATGCAGTAATTATCAGTGAGTCAAAAATCAGAGTAATAAATTCAGGCTAGCAATTAAAACAAAACCAAAATTGCCTTTTTTCCCTTACACTGGTGACTTCTAGTATTTTCAAGTCCTGTCTTGTATTCTTCTTCCCGCAGTCATTGCTTGTTGGTTTTATTTTGCTCTTGGATGAATAGTTTTGTTTTAAAAAAAATAACATAATTGTTGTTTTGCATGTAAACTTTTATGTTGTTCTTTTGAACATTGGTTCTTCAGCATTATCTTTAATTGTAAGAGAGTCAGTTATCTGCTTCTCTAACTTCATCTCTTCCTTTCACAAATTGTCTTAACAGCTTTTCTAGGAAAAAATACTTTGGGAAATGATTGCTGAGGCTCGCTTCCATCTGAAAAACATTTAGCTGGAAGAATGACTCACATTAAGTTGGAACAATCAACATGCAAACTTCTTATGTCACACTGGAAATATATGCTTATTTGTTAAATCCTCCCTTTATATTTCATAATGAAGTTTGTAATGTTTTTGAAGATGACTGCACAAATTAATCTTTAACCTTATTTGCCTATCTAATTTTTCTCAAATACAGACCCTCTCTTTTTAAATAGTATTTTCTTTTAAAGTTAGGTCACAGTAATGTTATTAATGTTTATATCTACCCATTGATTAAGATATTGTCGTTTGTTGAAGGAGTTGAGAAAAATTAGAATTGTGGTATTTTAATGGTCAAGCCAAGATCTTATTACAGATGGACCTGTGTGTGAACAATATAAATATACTTAGCTAATGCTGCCCAATTGTCTAATGTTATGTCTATTTCTAATAGGTTAACGTAATGAAAAGAAAATTTTCTATGAAAGATTTTAAGTAGTTTTGAGTTACGGATAAGTTCTTGTTTAACTGCAGCCCCAATTAGCCTTTCTACTCCATTGTGAAAAGCACCATTCTTGCTTCAAAGAGCAGATGGCTCTAATTTTCCCAAGACTTGTTCTTTTGGCAATTGATGGTATATTCATTATTCTTTGCTAATACCCTAATTCAAATACATCGTTTGGTTTTTCTTATTCACTGTGTGACCTCCGCATGCACAGACCATGGCTTGAGTCAGGCACACAGCAATCTTTAAAGTGACATTCTTGCTCCTTACCACTCGAAAGAGATCTTTGTCATACATGCCCAACGTAATTGACAAAGTGACTGTGGTGATGAGGTTAGGTGTGCCAGAGTCATTGCTGTTGGCTCAAGATAGGGTAAGGTTCAGTCATTGTTCATAGGGTTGTAGCTGAATTCGACAGCACATAACAACAATAATATGTCATTTATTTATTTTTTCATTGCTGCTCCCCTGGGTGTTGATAAATAAATCTAACTAAAATGAAATCTTTGACAACTTTAATCTCTTTTCAATTTATCATGATGTTGTTTATTGATTTGGTCATGAGGATTTTTGTGTTCTTTCAATTTATTTATTTTTTTTTTAATTTTATGCTGATTTACTCCGGATCTAATCCATACTGGAGACTACGGTCTATGAGCTTCATCTGTAATTGCTTCAAGTCTTCTTCATTTTCTGCATGCAAGGCTGTACCACCTGCATACTGCAAGCATGTAAAAGAGGTCCTCCCAAGACGTCACTGACATTGAGTCAAAACGGTCCCATAACTGACTCTCCAATTAGGTTTTTGAAGGCTATAAATGGTACAGGGGGAGACTGACATAAGACTTGATTTTACTTGTCTCTTCACCTTATTCAACTGTATAACTTGTGTGTGCACAATGGGGCGTAAAACGAAATAGATATTTCGCATGACAATATGAGCTCAGATCTTACTCTGAGCTTGGAACTGGGTGTGAAAAATCAGATTCATTGGCTGTTACTAAAATACATACCAGAAGAGGGCAGCACCACCTAAGCCCCCGATCGTCACATCGGTCAGCCCGTCACCGTTTAAATCCATCTCTCCGTGGATAGATTGCCCAAAAAATTTCAGTTTCTTGCCATCTCCACCCGATGGAATACGCTGAAAAAAAAAATCACAACAGAAGCAATGATTTATTTTGGAAGAGTCTGTTCAGAACAGTTTTAAATAAATCTGGAGATTTGAATTGGTTTATTAAAGATCTAGAAAACTGCCCAAGAGACCCCTCACGTGGAGAGGAGAGGAAATACTCAGGCGTTCCCAAGAGCTGTTCTCAGGGACCTGCTAGTGGGTTTTCAAAGGCAGTAAAATCCTACAGGAGGAGACTGGGCATCCTTCTCCTGCACATCCACTGGTGGATTTGAACCCAGGGCTTTTGTCATTGCTGTGGAGCTTCTTCTTTCATTATTATTAATAATAATAATTTTAATGAAAATTTACAGAGACTTTGCATTTCCATTCATACATTGTTGCACTTTCCTCCCTGCCCACCCCTCCCCCACCAGGTTGCTCTTCTCTTTGAAAAGTAAAAGAAAAATTATTTCATTGTTATACAGTCCCTCCCCCCAAGTCTGCTCCACTATGCAGCCTTCGCTCTGGACCCCTGTCATGACAATAATACCTAATCACAGTTTTCTCCTTCTTACCACTAGGTCTTTTTATAGAGCAGGCACACACGTTTTAAGATTTCTGACACCTCAGAGAAGTGTGTGTGTTGGGGGTAAAGGGATAGGTGGGAATGTGAGTGTGAAGTCCAGTTCTATAATGTCATCTAGTCTCATCCTCCAAAAAGGCATGAGTTATTGGCTCTGTTTTCTAGATCCCAGATGAGCCCTATGACACGTAGGTGTTTGCTCTGTGGTTGTTATGTACTGTCACATCAGAACTGACCATAGCTGACCCTTGAGAAGGGTTTCAAAGGCTGTAGAGCACACTGGAGGAAGTGCTGTCTCTCTCTCCCATGGGGTAGCTCTTGGATTCGAATCTCAAGCCTTCAGGCTGGCAGTTAATTCCTTACAGTTAAGCCACCAGAACTGTCTCATAGCTACTTAAGGGTGGAAATACTGAAAACTTACACCAGCAACTGGGACAAGAGGAGATTTTCCTGAGTCCTCAATTTGGGGTTCATTGCCCTTTGAAACTGAGTATAAACAATACATTCCATCAACTACATTTGCCAGTACTCCATATTCTCTATACTCGATAATCTTTACTCTCAACATGTATTGTTCTATCAAAAGTCAAGAGGCTGAATTCCACTCATATGTAAGCACTTGTGTGTTGGGAAGGCACAAATGAATGTGGAGTTATTGAATACTGATCAGTAACCATTACTGTATACAATATGTTTGACAGCTTTGTTACTGATTTAGCCTTGGTTCATGTTGAAAGAATAGAATTGAATGGCCAGGAGAAAGACATTATAGACTTTCCAGACATCTGGAGCCTTCTTGGCTTTTTATTTTCCATTTAAAATAAGACACCAGATATGGCAAACTGAACAGAAACATTTTCCACATCTAGTTGTTTTGTGACTCATTGGAAAGATTCGCCTCATTTGTAACAAACAAATCAGGAGGTGCTTGGCTCATTGGTTCAGGAGTTGACGGATTTAACTTAATTTCTGAATCAACTTGTTCATAAGCAGCATTTCTGGTAACTATGGGTGTAGTGAGTACATTTATGGCATTTATTGGGAAAGCATTCTTCTGACAAATAAACAAAGCCGACTCAAATATTCTTTTTTCTGGTTAAAATTGCATCTTGATTAATCACCATGTTACAAATAAATCGCTTATTATAACTTATTCTATTTAATAAAATAGGCTCCCCTTTTGATTTCAAATGCTGGACTATTAAACTGGAAGAATTACCACTGAGGCAAACAAATGGTATTCTGATTCTGCCATGCCTCAATTTTTGCCTGTTTCCAGGTAAGCAAATAAAAACTTGAGAATATTAGCACAAATAAATAATTTATTCTAGGGAAAGAAGTTTCATTACTTAACTAAACCCTTTATTTTGTTACTACACTCTACTTAAGAGTTCATGAAAAATGAAGCAAAACTTTTTAATCCATACACAGATTTTGAGAATTCTGTTTGCTATAGAACTGAAGAGAACAGTTCAATGTAAAAAGAAATTATTGATGTTCTGATGTTTTAATATTATAATACTATATTGTTGTCATGTGTCTTTGACTCAGAATTGCCTCATAGTTGACCCTCCAGCGAGAAGCTGTAAATGGCATGGAAAGAGACTGCCCATATCTCTTCCTTGGAGTAGTGGGTAGATTTAACTATGTGCCAGATAATATATATGCTGAAAAATCATGAATTCTATTTTATAAGTTCTATACCTAAACAACTTCTTTCAAACTCTCTTATTTTTAGGATGCTTTAAATACTTCCATAGATTGATATTTTTTTCATGAAGGAAAATAAATTGGTAAGAACAGAAATTCCTTGCAGGCTAAATTTAATGACTCAGTTTTTCTGCCAAGTGGATTACTTGGGAGAAAAGGACAAACCTTTAGAAATTCAAATGTATTTGATGAAATGATACCCATTTAGCTTGTGTGTTATATATAAGTATAATAATATTAATATAGAAATTTAATACAGCTGTTACTTATACACAAATTAATATTTATATAAATTTTAGATTTAGATAATTAATACATACACAAAATTATATATATATCTCTAATATAATTTTATTATAACCTGAACATTGAATTTAAAAACAGTAATCTCATCTCCTTTATTGTCTAGATCACATAATTATTGCTTTCCTACTCCTAACATAATACTAGCTATTTAAGATCAGACACTAGATGTTCAGATGATGGTTAACTGTTATTTTTTGAAAAATCTTTTAAAAATATGAGATCAAGATAAAAATCTTTTAAAAATATGAGATCAAGGAGACATAGTGGCAAATAACAGAAGAAAAGGAATCAGATAAAAGGGCAATCTACAAAGTAATCCCTCTGCAAGGGAAATTGAGAAGAGTATTAAATCTGGTTCCCAGGAAAGAGTCCGAGTAAATAAATTATCAAGGTGGATAATGCTTGACATTGAAGGGTGAGAATCCAGAAGCTTAGCTTCTTACTTGTGCATACTCTTTCCTTATGGTCTTGCCATTTCCATGATAAATATACACAGCACCCCTGTGATCATCTTCCAGGGGCGCTCCTATCACGAGGTCATTAAATCCGTCAAGATTGAGGTCTTTTACAGCAGCAATGGCTGTTCCAAAGCGAGCCCCGCATGGCTCGTTGGTGTTTTCCTTTGTGCATGAATCGTGCTTCAGGGATGAACAGCAAGTCTGCTTAATAGGTTCCAGGCTCATCTGATACTCGAACACTGTCTGTTGGAAAGATAAACAGGAGACTTTGGCATCTCTGTCTTTACTACAGCAAAGCAGAATTTCTAAAAATAGACACTAAGGGAGCACTATTAAAAACCATTCAGTACATCAAAGGGAAGAGTTGCAAAATTGTGCAGAGGAATGTCTTTCTGACAGAAAAGTTGGTGTTTTCAAGAAACAGAGTAGCAGTGAAGAAAAGAAAACATATTGAGGTTTTCGTGGATTCTTTACTTAATACAACTGAGCGAACAGCATTTTCTTAAAGCCAGAGAACTGAATTTTCAACCTCCAACTTCTGCCACTATCGGTACTTCATCCAATGGACTTTGAAAAGTCCCGACTATAAAGGCTGTTCGTTTTACACTTCATATATATTGCCATCCGCTGATCCCCAGTTTCACAGAGAGCGGCATCTGCTTCAACATTTAGTTTTTTGATATTGTGCGTTGAGTATTTTTTTAAAAGCTTTTGATCCTTGGAGATGTGTAGATTTAGTCTGAAATGAATTTTCTATTTTTTTATAAAGTACATTCTTAAAATAGATTTTTAATAAAAGAAAGAAAAGCCGCTGTTACAGAGAGAATAAGGAGAAAATATCCTTTATTTCTCCAAAATTATCTAAAATAGTGGTGCTGGCTATGGGGAAGGAGGGAAGGAACTCAAGGAGATAAATAAATTACAAGTAAAAAATGGACACTTTCATGGAAAGTAATTTTTCTTAAAAAAATCACAAGAAAGACCAGATTATAAAAGTAGAAAGTAAAAATATGATAGGACAATTTATGGTATTAAGTAATATAGGAGCTATAACAAGACTTTTTTAAAATCTAAAAGGTGGAATTGTGACATGAAAAACTCTCTTCAAATGGACAAATGAAGAATTATTTCATTATACAAATAAGTACCAGATCAGGAATGGGAAGCAAAAATCTCAGCGTGATGCAGTGAATATTCCAGAGACCTTTCCTGAGAGTTACTGGTGCCATCACTTTAAGACTCATTTCTCCCAAGTTGGTCTTTTCTGGCTTTTACTGCTTTTTTACTGCTTATCCTACACAACTCTAGAAACATCATCTGAGAGCTTACTGTGCAATTTAGTTGACAGTCATATTTAGCAGTTTTTAGCCTATATATGTAATCTAAAGAAAATTGTTAAAAATGTTTGTTTCTAATATCTAAAATCTAGAACTAATTTATTATAATTCTGAAAGTTCATTTCATAACTGGTGGCTAGTGGAGTAGAGGGGCTCTCAAAAGCACTATGTTCATTTTTCCCAAGTTAAAAATTAGAACTGTATTCTTTGAAAGTGAATAAAAGAAAAGGAACGGTTTCTCCCAAATATCTACCAAATTCACAGTCATCATTACCTGATTCAGGGCATACACATACACTTTTCCTTGTTCTTCTTTCTCTGTGCCCATGTACATGGGAGCGCCGACCAGAAGAATGTCAGTATTTGAATCTTTATCGATGTCAATCGTTGTTAAAACACTGCCAAAGTAAGAACCGATCTAGGGCAAGACCAAACAACTAGTGAACTTCACAAATTCTCTAAGAAGTTAAAAATTCACATTTCTCTTATTTATGGCAATCTGCTTTGGATGACATTGAGAAAAAAGGGAGTCCTAGAACACTTGAAGGCGCTCATGCAAAACCTATACTCAGAACCAGAAGCTGTCCTCAGAACAGTGCAGGGAAATACTGCATGATTCAAAATCAGGAAAGGTATGTGTCAGGGATGCATCCTATCTCCATACGTCTTCAATCTATATGTAGAACAGAACATTAAAGAGGCTGGACTTTATGAAGAAGAATGTGGCATTAGGATTGGAGGAAGACACATCAATAAGCAGCATTATACAGATGACACACCTTGCTCACCAACTTTGGAACTTGAAGCACTTGCTTCAGAAGATTAAGGACTGCAGGCTTCAATAGGGATTGCAGCTTAACATCAAGAAACTGGAGATTTTTACCCCTGGGCCAATTGGCAGCACCATGATAGATGGAGAAGAGACTGGGATTGTTAAGAATTTAATCTTTCTCAGGTCCATAATCAACACTCTTGGCACCAGTGGTCAAGAAATCAAAAGGTGAATTGCATTGGGAAAATCTACTGTCTGGGACCTATCCAAAGAGTTAAAGAGCTGTGAAGTCAGTCTAAAGACCAAGGATCCAGACATTGGTCTTCACAATTAGTTGCTATGCATCAGAGAGCTGGACAATGACTAAGGGTGAGAGAAGGAGAATTGATGTCTTTGAGTTGTGGTGCTGCAGAAGAGCGTTGAACACACCATGGACTATCAAGAGAACAAAGAAGTCTGTCCTGGGGAGGGTGAAACCAAGTTGCTCCTTGGAGGTAAGGATTTTGAAGTTCTGTCTCACATACTCTGGGCATGTTGTCAGGAAGGACAAATCCTTGGAGAGGGATACCATGACAAGTTGGAGGGACAATGCAGGAGAAGGAGACCTCAGATAAGATAGATTGATACAGTACCTGAGGTAGTGAGGGATAGGTGTGTCCGAGTCAGTGAGACTGGCTCAGACTAGGTCATGATTCAGAGCTACTGTTCATAGCGTCACTATGAGTCACAATTGGCTTGGAGGCACATAACACCTTTTGGTAAAGTAGTGGATCAATAAAAAAAAAAAAAAATAGGAAGACCCTCAAAAAAGACTACGTGACATTGGCTGCAACAAGGGGCTCGAATATTGTAATGACTGTGAAGATGGCACAGGACTGGACAATGCTTACACTCTCTTGTACCCATGGTCACAACCAAAATTGACACAATGGAACCCAACAGCAACAGCAGCAGAATATTTGAGGTTCCGTTGGTAAAGAAAAGAAAATATAGAAATTGATGAGTTCTTTACTGGCTTTTTCATGACATTAATATTCATCTGTTCTCTCCTTGTTGATATACCTTGTTGGTGGTTATACCTTCAAAAGTTTGTGTCAGAAATAAGTGATTCTTTTTGAATTTCACCCTATTCTTGTCTTATTTCTTAGAAACATCTTAACAGTGATAATGCATTAGTTTTTTTTTTTTTAAAGGAAATATTCAACAGATGTACACAACAGAAGACTTTCTGTAATGGCTGAATGTAAGTTTTGATATAGTCAAATGAAAATGTGAAATAAATATGGTATTATTGTTGTTGTTGTTGTTGTGTACCATCAAATAGTAACCAATCAATAGCTAAGACCCTCTGACAGGTTTTTTGGGGCAGTTAATCACACAGGAGGAGACTGTCCGTCCTCCTAGAGAGCAGCTGGTAGCCTCAAACAGCGTGCCTTTAGGATTGCAGCACAGCTTCTTGCCACTAGTCCACCAGAGCTCCCTAAATATGGCATCAGAAATAATTTTTTTTGGTAATACTTGCGTGATCTTATAGTGTTAGTAGATGTCTTTTCGACAAGATGGCTAAGTCTTATTCTGGCAGCTTTGGGAGGCAGGAAAAGATGAAAAGACAGCAACAGGGAGTGAGAGGAACCTAGCTTTAAGTTGTCTTTTAAACACACGGATGTTCTTTAAGAAAATACTGAGAACCGATATTTCATTATCTGAATGCAGCCTGGGTGCTCCTTGAGGGCAAAGAAGACAAAGCTTTGAGTCACATACGTTGGGCATGTTTCTAGGACAGGCTATTCCTGGGAAGGGGACATCATTTTTGGAAACGTGGAAGGTCAGAGAAAGAGGAAAGACTCTCAACCAGATAAGTTAGCACAGTGATTACCTTAATGGATTCAAGTATGCCAGAAATGATGGGGATGGCACAGGATAGGACAGAGTTCAGATTCAATTCAATAGAACAGTAGTTCAATCATAAACAGCAGCTCATATGGTCATTATAGGGCAACAACAAGGCATACTCAAGTGGACAGCACCTAACAACAACAAATTCATCATCGAAATTTTTTCAGTAATTGACCTGTATGTAATATTTGATATTCTCAGTAATTCTTTTTGTATGTGTTTATATTTGCTATATTTTCAGAAATATTTTAATTAAAATCAATAATTTTTATAAATCTCCCAATTCTGTCCCTGTCTCACAGACTTCTCTTTTTCTCCATCTTTCTGAGCCCTTTCTTCCTATTTCCCAAATATTGGGTCCCCTGAAGCTCAGAACTATAGTGTCCTTTCCTTTTTCCTACCCTTGATGGTCCTTCTTTCTCAAATGTTTCTACCACCTGAAATCACTCTATCCTTTTCCTTTTCCTTTTCCTCAAAGCACCAGTTTTGCATTTCTAACCAATTATTAATTGTTGACTTAAAAAATAGAAGAATTTTTAAAATAAGTCTTCTTATTGCTGTTGTTATGTGCCTTTGAGTCACTTGTGACTCATAGTGACCCTATCTATGTACAACAGCCCTAAACTCTGCTCTGACTTGTGCCAATCGCACCATCTTCGACACACCCATCCCAATTATCCCAGTCACTGAATCAATCCACCTCATAGAGGGCCTTCCCCTCCTGCGCTGTCCCTCCACCCTACCACGCATGATGTCCCTCTCCAAGGACCGGTCCCTCCTTACAACATGTCCAAAGTATGTTAGACGAAGCCTCAGAATCCTTGCCTCCAAGGAGCAGCCCGGTTTGACCCTTTCCAGGATGAATCTGTTTTCCTAGCAGTCCATGGTACCCTCAATACTCTTCTCCAGCACCAAAGCTCAAAGGCATCAATTCTCCTTCTATCCTCCTTAGTCATTGTCCAGCTCTCTGATGCATAACAAGTGATTGGAAAGCCCATGGCCTGTATCACAAAGGTGCAGAGTTTTCAAATACTCCCTCCCCAATGTCCACAGTGTTTCTTATTAGCATCTTGCTTCCTTGTGGCATATTCATTACAATTTATACTGTAACATGATGATTGACTAATATTTATATTAAGGTTTATTCTTTGTGTTGTAAAGTCTTTTACAAATGGGCAATTTAATGTTGACTCTTGAATGTTCTTTTCTTATAAGCTTTTCAACAGTGAATTTTAAGAAAGGGGGCAAAACAAACATTGACTTACAAGTACCAATAATTTGTTACAAGTTGATGGGAGCAGAGCTTTTAGATAGCTAATGAGCTCCCCACAATCTTGGGACCCTTTGCTGTCTTATTTCAGAAATTTATCCCTGTACATATCAGGTGACATCTCCAACCATTTGAATTTGTGATCATTGCTACAGAAAACATGTCTCAATACCAAAAGTCATTTTTTTAACCTAAATCAATTGGGCTGCTACTTGAGTTGCTGACATCCTAATAATGGTGCCACCATTCTCTCAGATTCTCAGACCTGAAATTTGTATCATGAATAGTTTCTTTCCTTCTCAAACTTTTGTAATAATTTAGACATTTTACCTTAAGAAAATTGATTGAGTGACAATGGACTTAAGCTATTTTTCAAAGCGGCTTCTTTTCACTCCTGGCGATTGCTCCTTACTTGTCTCTCACACCTCTTTTTAATTTCTCATTTTCACTGTTGAAATCTCATTTCAGATCCCTGTAACCACATTCTCAAACTAAAGCAATTTGCTTTTGTTGTCGATGCAGTTTCTGATTATAAATATGGGCAAAGGGTTAAGAATACCCTTTCACCTATTATATGAGAATCTGACCTTCGGTTTACTCTAGTTTTGTTCCACAGAAATCTCACGGGGATAGGATTTCAACTGTATTGTTAAGCAACAGTGGTTGTGGTTAAATAATAACCTCTTACTGGTACATTGCATTTAAGCTGTGTGGAACTCTAAATGAACTAGACATATCTGATGGCAACGTATTTTGGGCTTCTCGGGCTGTTCTAACTCTTATAATTGACATACTGTGAGATCCTGGAAGTTGTGTGGATGGTACAGTTTTAAAGTGGTGCTTATGGTAAAGCTAGGGCAGTTTCTGGACCTGCCTGATGTGAAACTATTTTCTTTGTCTTTCTACACTTGAGTTGTGCTGTCATGCTGAACTGTAAAGTCTCTGAATAAAGGAATGCTAATGTTGTCCTATCCTTCTGAGACTTCATGAGGTGAAGGTGGAGAGAAGAGAGCCTAAATGCGAGCTACAACCCTGTAGTGGGTTGAAGTATTATTTAGTGGAGTATTGCTCGGACGGGGAAGGGTTCAGAGCTGCTGTACGTAGGGTCACTATACATTGCAGGCGACTCAATGGCACATATCAACAATGACACACTATGACAGATTTGGAACCAGGAGTGGCATCCACTTACTAAATAGCATGCCTCAGAAACTTTATGAACTTTGGTAAATCTGTAGGTGTATTGGGCTTCAAGCCTTTTGTTCAGAGGGTCAGTATGAGTCGTGCTCGACTTGAAGGCAATGAACAACATTGCAGAGTAAAGTTAATATATTCTTGTGGTAGAACACTTAGAAATTTCAGCGTTGTTTGATAATGAGATATAAAAATACTCAAATTATTATAATTCAGTAATAAAATTTTATGTTGATTGTTATATTTCAGCTTAATGTGTCCACATGTAGTTATTTCCGTTTACATACTCATACATCACATAGGATGCCTGGACCAATACACCTGACATGCAGTCACCTTATGTTCTATGATACAAAACAGGACCCCTAGACTGTGGGAGACTAAGCAGAAAGGCATGACAATCTACTTCTGTGGTATAGTGAACTAAGTAATATGGCTCTTTCATTTTGTGGTTCTAGCCTTTCTGTCCATGTTTAAGATTTCATTCCAGGAGGAGATTAGTGCATGAAGGAAATAAGGTTTAGAGTGGGCTGCAAGCCGCACCCAATTCTTACCCAACTTGTCACTCTTGGAAGATGGTATATAGCCCTGAGACTCTACATTAAAGAATGATTCTGAAAAGCTCAACACTTTTCTCTTGGGACACTGCATCTAACCAGATCCAGCTCTGCTGACAACTCCAACAAACAGCCTGAGCATGCAGGCTCCTGGCCTATGTATTCAGCCACAGACATTGGCCTGTCTCATCCACATTCATGTGAGTTCTTTTCCTCCTCTGCTCTTCGAGTTTCTGTGTGATCTTTCAGCAAATCACGGAACCCAAAGAAATAGACAAGAGTGGGAGGACTGAGGAGAGGAGGAATAATTAAAATCAGAGATGACCGAGTGGTACAGCAGTTTGGACATTTGGAATATTGTTAACCTCCACCTTCTGGAACTAATCTTGTGCTAATCATCGTAAAAGAAATTATTCATACGACTTCCGAAGATCAGTGAGTGAGAACCCCATGGGCCACAACAATCTAGTCCAAAGCAATCATGGGGCTAGTGCATGAGTGACTACATTTGTTCCATTGTGCATGTAGGCACCAGAAGTGGGGCCACCTCCATAGTAGCTAACAACAGCACAGACTACTGCACACTGTATGCATATAGTTTCCTAAACTTCTCTTACTAGTCAATAATACCCAGTGAGAACTTTCCAGTTTTGACTATTACAATGTCTCCTTTAAAAAGGCCCAAATTCTTTAGTTTACAGTCAAAATGTCATTCAATTAAAGTTTACATGACTTTTTCTCCCCTTTCCAGTGTATCTGTCAATCTACATTCTAATTTTAATTCTAGACTCAGACAAATTTTATTCCTAATGGAGGCTTTCTGCACCAGTCCTAGATCAAAACCACCTTCTCACCTCCTCAATTACCTCCCTGCCACCACTGGTATTTTATGGCACTTCATATTTTATATGTCTTGTATCCACTTTTGTATTTTTATCTATGTCTGTTATAGGGGAGCACTAGTGGCAGAAGAATGTCTATCTGTGTTTCATTGATTATGCAAAGGCATTTGACAGCGTGGATCAGAACGAACTACGGCTGACTCTGAGAAGAATGGGAATCTCAGAACTTGGACCAAGAGGCAGTTGTCAGAACAGAGCAGGGCAACACTGAATGGTTCAAAATTGGGAAAGGTGTACGCCAGGGATGTGTCCTATCTCCATACCTTTTCAACCTGTATGCAGAGCAGATTATCTGAGAGGCGGGGCTCTATGAGGAGACACATGGTGTTAGAATTGGTGGAAGATCTATCAACAATCTGCGTTATGCAGATGACACAACCCTGCTCGCCGAAACTGAGGAGGACCTCAAGCACTTGCTGCAGAGGGTCAAGGACTGCAGCCTTCAGTATGGACTGAGGCTCAATGTCAAGAAGACAAAGACTCTCACCACTGGACCAACTGGTAGCATCAGGATGGATGGCGAAGAGATTGAAATTGTTCACAGCTTCAGTTTGCTCGGCTGCACAGTTAACACTCTTGGCACCAGCAGCCAGGAAATAAAAAAACGTATTGCGCTGGGAAAGTCTGCTGTTAGGGACCTCTCTAAAGTACTGAAGAGCAACGCTGTCTCTCTCGAGATGGAGGTGTGCTTGATACAGGCCATGGTCTTTGCAATCACTTGTTATGCATCAGAGAGCTGGACAATGACTAGGGAGGACAGAAGGAGAACTGACGCCTTTCAGCTGTGGTGCTGGAGAATAGTATTGAATGTACCATGGACTGCCAAGAAAACAAACAGATTCATCCTGGAGAGGGTTCAACAAGGCTACTCCTTGGAGGCAAAGATTCTGGGGCTTCGTCTGACATACTTTGGGCATGTTGCAAGGAGAGACAGGTCTTTGGAGATGAACAACATGCTGGGTAGAGTAGAGGGACACCGCAGGATAGGAAGACCCTCTATGAGGTAAATTGATTCAGTCACTGGGGTAATTGGGATGGGTGTGTCAGAGGCAATGCAATTGGCACAGGATAGAGCAGGGTTTAGGGCTGTTGTACATAGGGTTGCTATGAGTCGCAAGCGACTTGACGGCACATAACAACAAGAACAACAACAACAGTGGCCTAGTAGTGAGGAGTTGTGCCATTGATCCGAACGCATGTGGTTTGAATCCACCAGATGCTTCATGGGAGAAACGTGGACAATCTTCTCCACTGCAATTCACAGCTTCTGAAAACCTGCTGCTGGGTCAGTTATGAGTCAGATTTGACTTGATGTCAATGAAGTTTCCTTGAAAGGAATCTAACAGAGGTATTTACTTAGTAGACACAAATGAATGAGTTTAGAGTAGTAATTTTAAAGTTTACCTGCTCTCCGTTGAGTGTCTGGAGAATCTTGATGTCCCCGTCTTCCATCCTGTAGATAATGACCTGGCCTGTGTGATTGTACCTCGGCTGTCCAGCAATATAGAAGACATCTCCAGAAACAGTGGCTGAGTTTACTGTGTAACCTGATAAAGAAAGGTTTAGAGATACTAATTGGCCCAAACATTCTATACAAAATAAACTGAGACTGACTTCAAATAATTGGAAGAATCATCTTTATATAAACTTTTTTTGGGGGGATAATAATGACTTTGTCTTTAAATACACAAGAGATTTTATTTTGCTGGAACTTTTTAGCATTTTTGCTGATTCTCTACTACTTTGTCCTGAAAAATGTGCTCTCCCTCATATCTCAGTTTTTCTTTCTCTAAAGACACAGCTTTATAATAATGAGACATACACCCCTGAAACAGAGAAGCATACAGGCACCCTTAAAATTTCTTATAATCTAAATTCACCAGTTATAATTTTAAATTAAATTTAAATATGTGTCTTCACTACAGAAATTATTTTGTATAGTTAGAAACACCCTTCTATATGGTTAGAAACATTTCATAAGTTACAAATATAAGTTTTTTTATGCATTTGTGTGTAGCATTTTAAATTTTAATCTCAATGGCTGAAGATTTTTTTTAATTAAAGTATTATTTTCATTCAGCATGACCATTTCCTGAAGGATGCATTTAGGTGGTTTTTTAAAATCTTGGTAATATGCTTATGCCAGCAAAGACATCTTTAAGCATTTAATTCCCCCCTCCCCTTCTTTAGGGTTTTCCTGAAGATAAATTTCAAGGGACAGATTTCTAGATCACATTTCTAATGGCTTTTATAGTGGCTGGCAAATTGTTTCCAGGGCATTTATACAGATTTATTTTATGAACAGACATACAAGAGAGGACTAGTTTCATAAAACTCTCCCAAACACTGAGAATCTTTAAATATTAACTTTGTGGATAGTTTAATAGGAGTTAACTTTAGTCTAACAATAATACTTTATTGTTATTTCGATTTGGACTGGTTTGATTAATGGTGAGTTGGAACATGTTTTCTTAAACTCAATCATTTCTTTTTTTTAACTGGACTTCCATGAAGATTTTAGTTGCATTCTTAAAGCAGATTTTTTATTGCTTTCTGAGTGAAGAATTAAGAGTTATTCTTTGTTGTTTCTTTGTATTACAGAACAGAGACAAATTAATTGACAGAAATTACCACATGCAGATTCCACTTTAACAGATGAAAGAGATGTTTTAATATTCAGATTTGTCTAAACATAAAATTAGTTATGTTTTAAGATGTCATGGACTTGCATTTGCTTGTTGTTGTTTTTATGTGCCATTGAGTCGCTTGTGACTCAGAGTGACCCTATGTACAACAGCTCTGAGTCCTGCTCTATCCTGAGCCAAATTTATTGTCACTGACATACCTACCATCCATTACTCCAGTGACTGAATCAATCCATCTCATTAAGGGTTTTCCTGTCCAGTGCTGTCCCTCCACCCTCCCAAATATGACGTCCCACTCTGAGGACTGGTCTCTCCTTGCAATATGCCTCAAGTATAT